AATGAAAAATCTAATATATTAAAATCTATTCTTTTGTTTTTTTTATCAAAGACAAAAAGGAAAAAGAGAGAGAGAGAGAGAGAGAGAGAGAGAAATTCAATTTAAAAAAATGTACCCGTGTTGTTCGTCGTTTATGCCAAAAATCATAGACATTTTTTAAATGTGATTCATCAATATTTGATAGTAATGTACGTGCTTCATCGAATGATATAAGTGTTCGTGTACTTGCATTCTCAAGTTTATCAATAATGATTTCATATTCAAGATATGTAAGATTTGGACAAGATATTCGACCATATTCATTAAACCAATTATGATCAATTCTATCCATATCATATTCAGGTTCATCGGATTCAAGTTGTAAAGCTAGAAAACAAAAATTTATTTTTGGAAACAACAAAAACAAAACCAAAAATCGTTTAACAAAATAATCTAGAGAAATTTGATATATACGTTGTAAACGAATAAGTTGTTTAGGTAATTGATTAATAGCTGGATAGATTGATTGACTATTTGGATCTTCATATAAATCAGGTATAGGTACAGCACGAATTTTCGCTGAACCAAGTCGTCGTTGAGCATCGAGAGCATTTTGAAGATGATATTCCTGAAACACAAAAACAAAGAACAAAAAAAAAATTTGAAAAAAAAAACAAAACAAAAGAATTCTTTTTGTTTTTGTATACTAACTGATTCTTCTTCTCGTTCCATTCCAGATACAAATGGCATTTGTGGTACACATCGTTGTGGTAATTGTGAATTTGATAATAATGTTTGTTGAGATGCTTGAAGATTAGATGTGGACGAAAATGAAACAAGAAGATTATTACTAGAAGATGATTGAGTTGTTGTTGTTGTTGTTGATGTTGATGAATTTGTGAGTGTATTATTATTATCATCATGTTGATCGACAAAAAGTCGTATACGTTTACTCGGATCAAGATTTCGTGCTCGAAAAAGAGGACGATTCATCGAATCTAGAAAATATTAAATACATTTTTTTTTTTTGTTTTCTTCCTTCTTTTTTCTTTTGTTCTTCAAACGAAATACCAAAAAAAAAAATGCGCTCGTTTGTACGTATTCTACTATTAACAAACTAAAAAAATAGCACACACTAACGACTGCTCGTCACCGAATTTGGATGATGAATGGGCACATATATATATATATATATATGTATATGAATGAGCTAGCCAAAGCTGTAACTTCCTTCGTTCTTTCTACACATATACGCGCGCTTAAAAGCGATGATAGAATCACGTGCTATAGTATATATGTTTTTTTTTGTTGTTCTGTTACACATCAGATCATAATTGAATGACGGAAATAAAAAGAGAAAAAAAAAATTGTCTGTTCGATAAACGTATGTCTCAAGGATATTCTCTACACCTTTATCAGAAAGAAACAGAAGGAAATCGAACAGTACAATTCAACTTGTGATTTTCATCTAGAAAAAAAAAAAAAGACAAAGAAAGCAAAAAAAAAAAAAAATAAAGGTCAAATGAGTACGTTGATCAAATAAAAAACTTCTCGGTCTTTTATATTGGGCAAATGAAAAAAGAACACGTCTTTTTTTTTTCTTCTTTTTTTTCGTTCTTCATACTATCATATGCCACGTCGTCATTCGTTTTTTTTTTTTTTTACTATTACGATGACAAACAAAGCAAAGAATGATAATCATTTGTTAACAATATAAAAACGTAGGAGGAAGAATAACGGAAAGACACTTACGAAAACAACAACTGTTATTATAACTTGGATTCTATTGTCTTTATCAACTATATATATGACATCTAACAAGGTCAATTGGGCGACAGCAAACGATTTTCATATGATTATGCAATAAAAGAATATATAATAAAGACGACGGATGTACGTAAAAGATAATCACTAATATCATTTAAAAAATAGTGATTAAAAGATATTTTTGTTTTTAGTTTTAAAGAAAAGAAGTAGTTTTTGAGTATGTAAAAATATTAATTCCATCAAAGAATTATCTAAAAACTAGAATATGAATATATATAGCTATATATATATATATATATAAACGAGCTGAATGAATAAAGCATGAAGGTTAAAAATTAAAATGAGAATAATCATATTTTAGTTTCTTGTTTCTTTTTAATCCTGAGCCTTCTTACTCATTCTCATGAACAAAATAGTCACAAGCAAAAAACCAGTCAACAAACAACCATTCCTTTCTTCTTTTTCTTCTTCCTTTTTTTTTTGTTGCTCTGTGTACCTCCTGCCGATGGTTAGTGTGCTATTAGATGTGAAGAGCATACGAAAGAAAGCGAGAACGAGTCTTGAAGCATACAGAGTGATTAATAGATGCTCTGTGTGAATGTGTGTGTGTGTGTGCATAATGCACAAAAGATTGGGGTAGTGATCACTCCATGTTGTCCTCTAATGTCGTCTATATGGCTGACTATATTTGTTGTATGATTTTGTTCTCTATAAATATAAATATATTATACTAAGAAAACGAGAAAAAAAAAAAGTTAAAATCATTCTCGAAGAGTTTGTTTCGAACATATAATATTTATTTTAGTTAATTTGAAAAAAATATAAGTATGTTTTTTTCTTAATAGTATTTTTTTTTCTTCTTTTCCTAGACCAATACTATGTACTGTCAATGATCAACAGTAACAGTAGATAGGAGACTCCAAAATGACACGATCGTTTTGCTCGCATATGCGCTCGCTCTCTATGTTTTTTACTTCTCTCGCTTCTCCCCTCTTTCCCCTTCCCTCCCCACCTTTCTCTTCCATGCTATACGTCCCGCATCCCATCGTGATACATACATGGCCATTTGTGCTTGCGCGCTTGTTCGCAAAAATGAATCGCGCACGATAGACGAGCGAGCGAGCAAACAGCCCCCTTTTCTCTTTTCTTTTTTCCTATCCTCTATGTGTAAGTTGTATGTTGCACGCACGCATTCGCATTTTTCTTCGTTTTTTTTTTTTTTTCTCCGTCTTTCTTGCTCTCGGTCGCTTGTACTCGCTTGCTATCGTTTTCTCTTTTTCTTTAACAACGACGACGAATGCATAGAAGCGATATAGTATTTCAAGCCTGAAGCTATCGTCGACGTCGCTATATATTTCTATTTATTATTCATTTGCGAAACGAGAGAGAGAGAGAGAAAAAAAAGAGAATGTCAAGTAATCGGGCAAGTAAGAATCTGAATAACGACACTATTTCTTTTTTTTTCTTCTCTTCCTTTCTTCGTAAACGTTCGTTACATAGACGAGAAAGCGAGAAAGAGAGAGAAAAAAAAAGAAAAGAAAACGAGAGAGAGAGAGAGAATAAGAGAAGAATGCACACACACACACACACCCTGAGTCCACAATATATACACAGAAGAATAGATATATATATCATGATGAGAAACCTTTTACAAGACTTTATTTAATCTCGCATGATTATGTCAAATTTTACAATCATAAGTTATATTGATCTATAAATATGTTTTATTAGTTTTAGTGAAGTACTTTTAACAAAAAAATCTTATCTAATGTTGTCGTTAGGTTTTGTATGTAAAAGGCAATGAAGGTTTTTTCTTTTTTTTTTTTTTTTGATGAATGATATGTGTGTAGAGAGTCTGACTAGATTAGGAGAATTCACTTACTGGTCATATAAGAAAGAGAGAGAGAGAGAAGAAAAAACGTAGAGCTTCGACCTATTTTTTTTTTGTGTGTGCTTCATCACGACGACGAGAAGGAAGAAGAAGAAAAAGAGATGTGTATGTGTGGAACGGGAGAATTTTTTGTCGGCGCCGCAGTCGAGTGCGCGAGCGCGCGAAGGGAAACAGATGTGAAGTGATGAAAGCAATGGTGCTGCAAAGATAATGGGCTGTATTGCCTTTCGGGCCGTTTGTTTCTCGTGCATGCGGGATAGAAGGACGAACCAGTGCATATTATCACTGTATAGATGTGCAAAAAAAAATAGATGTACTTATGTGGTAGAAATTTACAATTCTGTCTATCATAATTACGTATGCATACGTTAATGAAGTGTAGATGTAAAAAGAAAGAAAAAAAAAAATCAAATGTAATCAATATATAATATCATTTTGATGAAAGAAGAAAAACAAAATATATTCAAGAGCTTGAACAGGTTTTTTTCTTATTTACCTAATTCGAAACTAGTAGTCAAGAATATATGATTGTTGAAAGGCTAATATATTCTTAAAGTTTCTTAATATTATAATGAAATGTAAATAGAATCAATGATTTCAATAACTTTCTTACAAGTAAACATATCCAACCATTAATCGTTGGTCGAAATGATATTTTGCTCATTAAAGAAGGATTCAGTGAGACAGAAAAAAAAAAACTTAAAAAAGATTAGTCTGCGTAGGCTTTCCTTGAATAGTCATGACGTTTTTATCAAATTTTCGGCTTATGGTAAGATATTTATAGAAAAATGAAAAAGAAAGAATTGTCGCCTGAACTTTTGCCTATAAATAAATCAGATGATTCCTAACAAAATCATAAAAAACACAATCGAAACTTCATAATATCTATATATAAAGAATGGTTCATTTGATAACCCGTTATTTTCGACTTTTCCATGAATATTTTACCATAGGCCAAAAATTGGGTAAAACGATTATAACATGACAACGAAGGCGTATGAGGACAAATCTTTTCAGGCTTTTTGCAGTCTCACTAAGTCGTATAGCTATCAGTAAAATATTATTTCAATCGGCGATAGATGGTTGGATATGTCCTCTCGTCAGAAGAAAATCTTCTAGATGAGATAAATGAAATTTCTAATATAATATAGTCTATTTTTTTTATTGCTAAAATTTATAATTTAAAAAGAAGAAACTACGATAAAAAAAAAAAAACTTTCTCCGTCTAGTAGTGTCATCTTTGATGTCACTAAGAATATTTTATCATGCAATTGGTTGTTTTAGATATTGTTTATTTTTTTTTTTCATGCATATTTCCAAATAAGACGATTTTTTAGAATTCATTTTGAAACTCAAAAGAAAAATGACAAATTGGTTATCTCGAGAAATTAAACATCTTTTACCAACATTTGATTTACATGCTGTTCGTACTGTTCTTGTAACATTTGATCCATGGCGACTTGATTCACGAGCAACCAGAGATTTTTTACATATTATTACGGATGATTCTGTTGCTAAATATTATCCAAAAATGTTTGTTAAACCAACAATTAAATCAGATTTGTCTGAACCAATTATTACAGTAGAATTTATTGATTCATCAAAAGCAATTTTTAAAGCATCAAAACTAACAACATTGGATATATTCACGAAACTTAAACCATTATGTATTTCAAAAGCACCACCTCCTTAATTTTCTATTTGTTATTATTATAGTTAGGAAATAAACTAAACACAAGAATAAAATTATTCTTTTGTTTTTATTACTTGATCATTTCATTGTATTGTTTGTCATCTTTTTGTTTTTGGATGATTTTAATTTTTTTTTCGACAATGGTATGTTGTAGCAACTGTTTCATATTGATTGATTTGATAAAAGTGAAAATATTAAATGGTTGATCAAGTAGTTATAATCATGTATTCAACAATCGTATGTGATCTTAAGTATTTTTAGTTGCTTTATGTGCATGTGGGTGTGAAACCATACATTATTTTTATTGTTTGATATAGTCTGAGATAAGTAACTATTTATATGAAAATGAGAGAGAGAGAGAGAGAGAGAGAGAGTGACACAACATAATTTTCTTGTGACGAAATATCTATAATAGAAATTGCTGCACGTGATGATTAATCTAGTAGATATTTATGACTCAGACTGCAAGAAAAAAAACAGAAGTTATGTAACTAGCAATGATTCAAAAAAAGAATTCTTTATTTCGAGAATTTTTTTTCTTTCTTACACAGGAGAACATGTTAACAGTTCGAAAAAGAGTTCTAAGATTTTATTAAGTTAATTTTTCTATCCTAGATGTTTATATTTTAATGAAATTTTTATTTCGTTATTTCATTCCAGCAACAATAAAAATGTCTTACTCTATTTCTCGTCGTATTCCACTAGGTCCTGGTCAAGAATCTGTATGGGACTATCCTCGACCACCTCGTGTTGAAGATACATCTAAACATATTGAAGTTATATTTAATGGTATAGTAATAGCTGATACTCGACGTGCGAAACGTGTACTAGAAACAAGTCATCCTCCTACTTATTATTTGCCACCGGAGGATGTTTGTTTAAAAGAATTTTTCAAACCTATTTCAAATGAAAAATCATCGTATTGTGAATGGAAAGGTGTAGCAAATTACTATACAATTGAAGTCAATGGCAAACGAGCAGAAAATGCAGCTTGGTATTATTCAAAACCAACAGAACCTCAATTTTCTTCTATTAAAGATCATATTGCTATCTATGCTAGTCAAATGGATGAATGTCGAGTTGATGGTGAACGTGTAATACCACAACCAGGACAATTCTATGGTGGATGGATTACTAAAGATATTGTCGGACCTTTTAAAGGCGAACCTGGCAGCATGGGATGGTAATTTGTTTTCGTCTTTTCTCTGTCAAAAAAAAAAAAGAAGATTTTAAATCTTTAATATTACATTTATATAGAAAAAGAGGAAGAGATAAGTGATTGAATAACAAAAACATTAACGTTAGTATTTAGAGTATGAACTTGATTCTTGTCTATTTCAAATACATATATATTGAATAATCAAGAGATTCTTATCTTGCATAAAAACTTTGAATACTTTTGAATCTCATCGTCGTTTTATTATTAATCTCAATATTCAAATATTACCTTTTTTTTTTTTTTGGAGAATAGATTTAAAATCACTGATTTTCATTGTTAATTAATTTTGAATTAAATGATGTTAATATCAGAAGTATATTGTATTTTAGTGCTGTATCCAGTTTGAAAAAAAAAATACGTTGTACTTTTGATATTGTTTCTTAAATGAAAAAGACATGATTCGTAATTTTTTCAGTATAAATATTTTATAGCATTTTAAGTTATTAAAAAAAGTTCATCGTTCATATATCAATGAGCATTATACAGTAACTTGGATATATAACTTTCAGTTGACCTTTGTTGACTAATCTTTTTCAGAAACATTATAGCACGTCTTTGGTAACTAATAGATATTGAGTCATATGATTCAATTTCGTAATATTAATACCATTAAATATCAAATCAAATATTTGAACGTGTTCTTATAGATATATATATATGCATATAATAGAAAGAATGATCTTTATAATTTCTATTTTCAAATTTAGTTGAGAAGTGAAACTATTATATAACTGATCATAATGAAAACAGAGTGATGAATAGGTATGTTTGATTTACAGATTGGTTTCTGTTTATACTGTCTTTGATAAGATTTCTTAATTGTTTTTAAAATTTGACATTTAGACGTTGGCAGAATCGAATTAGAGAGACAAAAAAAGCATGAAGCAGCATATAACAAAAGAAATATATTAGGCTGAAATACAGTATTGGTGACTTTGTAACAAAATTAATTCTTTTTTTTTATGTTCTTTGTTCGTACAAGACAATATTTTGTCATTTAAAATTGTGCTATGAAGTAGTTACGATCTATTATAGAAAAAAATATTTTAATTTTGTAATTATGGGAATTCTTATAATTTAATACATATACAATGTTAAGAAATTTTTCACAAATAAGTCATAGATTTTTATTAGTCGTTTCCAATTAACTTTCCATTAATGTTACATTCTATAAATATAACATAGAGATATTCGGACTATTATGAATGAACAACAGCAATCACTATTTTACTATTAGCCACGATTTATACGTTACCAAATTTTCATACAAAACATGTTTCGCAATTCGATGAACAAACTTTAACTTGATATAAATTAAAAACTCAATATACTAATATTCAATAAAATCATCCTACTGCATAATATAAGTAATACACCTAGAGTTCCGTGGGATTGGTTTTTTCCCGTTCAGGTCTTGCATTTTTGCATATGTTGAGAATGTGCTGAATTTTACAACTCTTGTCTGATTTCTAACTTATATTTATTGCGAATCAATAAAAACAAAACAAGCGAATGTTTAACCATGGAAAAAGACGAGTTTATGAGGTACATTAAATGTAATCTCATTCCGATATTTTCTCGACTATAACAGAAACCGAAAGTGCAATTATACAAGAAAAATTAGTAATTTATGTAATTGAAAGTTATTACTAGAGTTGACTACAAATCATATCATACCTTATTTTAAGTGTTTTTGTTATCCGAGAGAAAAGTATCTTTTTATTGTTTTTTGAAGATTTCAATCAAACCCATACGCTCAGTTCAAGTGATTCAACAGTTGATATTGCTGTTGAGAATGTCATTATTATTCTTCATGTACTGAATACCTGTGGTTATTGTTGTTGTTCCATGAAGTAGTATTGCTTCGAAAAAAGACTACAAAGTACAGCAGAAATGCATATCAGATCATTAAAAAAAAACACTTGCGTTTAGATGTCATACTATTTCTTCGAACATTCAAACTGTTTGAATTTAATATTTTTTTTTTCTCATACTTCTTCATTTACATGATCATATCGATAGTCATAATATAAAAGCTAAGTCGACGAGAAAAATATCATTCCTTGAATTTAATATTTCTTTCAAAACAAAAAAACAAATTAGGATTTTTGTGCAATTTTCAACAATGACAGTTAATCTAAGGACCATATCACATTAGCTTAATTATCGCGTTTGATATCAATTTATGGTATTTTAAGTTTATTCATAATTATTTCTTAATATATCGTAGTTATATTCCATTATTTGGTTTCTCTTCCTTTTCATATTTGAAAAGTGTTATTCTTGAATGTGACAAAGTGTATGATCAGAATAAAATAGAGAAGTTTTGTTTAACTGAAGTTTTTCTATCAGTTTTTGAAATTTATAGAAGGTTTATAAGTGTTATAAATTTGCCAAAAATAAAGGAAAAATTTTTTTCATAGCTATTTATCAAAACTAATCAGAGATTAATCATCATTTAACATGAAATTTCATTTTTCGTCTATAATATAGTTCTATTTGACCGAAATCTAGATTTTTAAATATGTATCAATGTAAAAAAGAAAACCATTCTGAATTAATATTGATTTTATAATTATAAAAAAAAATATATTTGTGAAAGTAAAATTTCTTTTTATAAATAGTATAAGAAAAATTAAAAACTAAAGGTAATTTAAAATTCTTCTACTATAAATAGAAATAAGACTTCTTTTTGCATTACTTATATAAAGAAGTTTGAGGATTGTAATCATTTCTAGAACAACTCAAAAGTTTAACTTGTCCTAGCGGTGAACCATGAATGTTCTTAAAACACATTATTATTTCTATTCATAAGTATTTTACATTGTCATAAAAATGATTATATGATTGTTGAAGACTAGAAAATATATAAACTATGTCGACATGACTTTTTCTTTATATTATTTAGTGTAATAATTTAATATTTTTTGCCTTTCACAGAGTTCAAAATATTATAGGACATTTCTAGTAACAATGGTATACTTCTAAAAATTAATTAGTTCTAGTTAAGCGATATTTTTTATATATTTGAATAAAGTGTTATTCTTGGCAAAGCTGTTCAACTAATATGATGTAAATCAGAGAAATTACACTTCCTTAAATCTATGAGATTTTGAATGACATATAATACTGTTTAAACCTCAAATTAGTTTTGTTAATTTTAGATTCTTATAAGAAAACAATGACATGTTTATTGTTGCTTTACGGAAATTAGAAATTTGTCTATAGGGAAAATAGAAATTTTAAGTGATTCTATAGGAAATTAAAGCCTTCAAATTTTCTCATCGAATATAAAGAAAAAAAATTTTTTTTAAATTTTACCCTGTAATATAAATATGCATATAATTCATTCTATAGTAATTTAAATTAAAAAAAATTAACAATTCTGCTTTTTTTATCAATTAATTTTCTAATTTTTCTTGAGTTATGTATTGAATGAAAAAGAGAGAAATTCAATGAATTGTTTTTGTTTTATATTATTCTTTGAAAGTTAAACAATATTGTTTGATTCTATTTTTTTTAATAGAAGTTCATAACCGATTAAAATAAAATTTTAAAATGATCAAATAGTATTACCTGCTCGTTAATTACTCAAACAGACAAGAATTTTTGAAAACACGCTTAAACATTCTAATTGTGTTTTTCCTTTGAACATTTTTGCGTGCAATGAGACAACATCAAAACCTATGTATCTTCTTTCATCATAAAAGCTGCGTGAAGTCGTTTAATAAAAAGGCAACTTTTACATTAGAAAGACGTTCAAAAAACTTTTTTCACAAAACTTTTGACATACACAACACATGAAAGAAAGTTATTTTTATCTGAAAAACACGTCAAAATATTAAAGAAAAATATGCTTGCATGTTTTCCAGATGCAAAAGTTGACTTTTTTTTATCATCTTCAAACACTTTGTATGATGAAACTAAGTGACTTTGGTATTGTCTGAATAGGCGTGAAAATGTTCAAAAGGAAACCTTATCTGCTTGAGCAATCCAATAGTTGACCGACTTTGTTTGCCAGTTGTACTTAAAATTCATGATGAAATCCATGGCTTAATCTTGAATCGTTATTCATGGAACGTATCCTAATTTATATGGATTTAATTCATATCATATTCAGAATAAGATATTATACTTCGCATGTTTTAAAGTATTACTTATGAAAATTAACATAATTCATTGAAATAAATTCATTATATAACTATAAACTGCTGCATATTTTATTGATGACAAAATTGTCATCGGCGAAATACATATATATCTTCTGGCTAAAATAAAGCACACATTATTTGTGATTATTTTCGAATACTATCATCATTTGATTTTCCATTTATACTGCAACAAACATCTTTGATAATTTGATTCAACTGAAAACTTCAGTCCTATTATATGAGAATTCATTGTGGAACACTACAAATATGTCTGATATAATTTTGTAGCAAAATTACCAAAATTTTTTATCTCCTAATTGAATTTCGTTTTTTTTTTAAATAAATATCTGTCAGATGAGTAGGATTTTCTCGATGTCATTTGCATTGTTACAGACTTTTCAGATCGTTTCTTTTGGAAAATGCTTAGGAAATATCTATAAAAATGGATTCCGTCGTCAAAGGTTTGTACCATTAAAGGTAGAAAAAAAAATATTCAACAAGATAACTTTAAATTTAAGCGCCACCACTGCCTGAGTACATCAGACATATTTTATCGTTTTCTCAACGAATTTTTGTTCTAAAGGATTGAAATTTTTACAGTTGACTAAGTAATTAAAGATGTATCTATCCATAGGATAAATAGCAGATCAATTGATAATTGTTATTTGAAAATAATTGAAAAAAAAACAAAAGTAAATCATTTATTTTGATCACGGAATATTAAGATAAAGAAAAAAAAAACAATATTCACTCATAAGAGTAATATTGAGAAAAAGTGTTTTTTTTACTATTTTTTTCTAAATTATAATACTAAAGTTTTGATTCATTGTTCGTTAATTTTGTATTAACGATTATCATTTGACATTCCATCTTCAGTTGTTGTTTCTTGAACTCTATTAAAATTACATGTTATTTTATAAAAATTTTCACTAATTGCTTCATCTCTGTTTTAAAACATTTCCAATAAACTTCATACACTTTATATTCATACTTCTACGATTTTCTCTTCGCATCTAATAATTTAATCTATTTGAAACGAATAATATTAATAATTCAATTTTTTTTTCGAGGAAAATCAATCTGACTTGAGATATTTTCTATTACTTTGTAATTTTGAAAAACAGATATTTATGATGAATTAATCATGTTATTTCTATATCGAATGCGAAGCCTAAAATAAGTCAGTTTGTCTCTTGGGTTTAGAAAAGATTTATTGATATTTATGATTTAAAGCAGAATATTATCAATCATATATGACGATTAAATACATTTTATATTTAACATTTCCTCGTTCATGTTTATTAACGATGAAACTTATTTACTGTTCAATAAAGATATTCAACTTAACATTTAGACACTTTAAAGATAATAAAGCTCTTTCCTATGTTTATTATTTCTCAAATTGGAAAAAGTAGCCAATGTGGAATTTTTTTTATATGCGTTTAAGATAAGACATTGCGATAGTATTATAAATAATGTTCCACATGTATTATTAGAATATATTCGTGCAGTATCTTTATTTGATGAATAGTCTTTTGACTATGAAATTTTTATTCGAATTTCTAAATCATTTTCACTGATGAAAAAAGTTATCTTTAACTAATCGGAAACCAAAAATATAATAAACCCCTATAGAAAGTCCAAAAATGACATTTGTAATTTGTCAATCATTAAATATCTTTATCGTACTGAACTTGATCTTAAAATGGAGATGTTTATATTATAATTTAAAAGCACTAGACATATTCAAGTCAAAAGAAGGCTCTCACCATCAAACTAACAAATTTAAAATATTAGCAGCTGTTAGCATGCGCAGACCCAGATATTCAAATTTGAAGGTATTTACAGTTTATTTACAATACCCCAATTCAATATTTTAGCAGAGCTTTTTCTTCTTGCTCGTTGAATGGCACTCGAGTCTAGTTGCATTAGAAAATATGTGTTTCGTATTTTATAAAAGAGATTTTAAAAAATCTAAGTTACATTACTTTTTTAATATATTGAGGCATAGAGCCTAAACTCTGAGTGTCGTAAGCTTATTTTTTAAAATCTTTTGAAAAATATGAAAACACATATTTTCTAATGCAACTCGACAAGTGCTATTCAACGATCAAGAAGAAAAAACTCTGCTAAAATATTGGATTGTGCATATCGTACATAGACTGTAAATATCTTAAAATTTGAATATCTGGATCTGTGCATGCCAACAGCTGCTATTATTTTAAATTTGTTAGTTTGACGGTGAGGGCTTTGTTTTGACCGAAATATGTGTAGTGTTTTTAACTTACCATACAAATACTGCCATTGTAAGAGAAAATTGAAGTAACCTAAATTCTCATTTTGCTCGCATGATAGATCTGTTGACCAATATTTAGAAGGTTTCGATGAGAAAAAGTTGAGTTGAAATTCTTGAAAATCGCACACAGATCAATTCAACTTTTTTCTTATCAAAATAACTATCAAATGAGTAATGCGAGTAATTTAGTTCATACTTCAAGTGACCTGTTTCACTAGATGAATAGTAACTATATAAACTTCGAAATTGATATACTTCAGTTAGGGTCATTAGTTCTTTAATTAATGATTTGTTTTTATGGAGTCAAGCTCTTCTGGAATATTTTGCTTCTTCTGAGCTCCAAGAACAATATTTTTGCGGAAATTTTAATGTGATCTATGATTCAAGAGAGTTACCAGATTTGACTTCTTCTTCGTTCATTATCGTTTTCAATTATTCAAAAACAAATTTAAGTACATATTCAATTCAAGTCATGCATTTGACACACGTACACCATCAAAAATAATTTTTTTTATCTAAAATGAATTAAAATTTTTTTAATCGATTTCGAAAAACATAATTTCTTTTATTTTATTTCTTGTTGTTAATGCTGTAGTTTTTCGTGAAGCATGAATAACTATAAGTTGGATGTTGCATACTATTTTCAGTACTAATATTGTACCCTCATTTGATATTGTAGCTTTACCACGATTATCAACAATTAATGTATCCGTAAGACGTTCACCTAATGTTGTACAAATTGCTTTAGCAACAACTTGACATGCATTAATATTTGATAAAATTTGAGATTTTGCTTACCAAGAAGAATCAATCAGTTGCTTCTTTGAGAATAATAATTATTGGTTGGATTGTTTTTGTGTTTGAATTTAAATACGAAAAATTTTATCTAAAAGAATTTCTTATATTTAAAAATAGATTTCATTGTCAAAATAATACACATTAGAGAAGATTAAAGTTAAAACAAATGTGTACGTGAAAAATATATGTGGTGCTTATATGGTGAAATTAAATTATGTTTTATTTGAGGTAAAATAATAAAAAAAGAACAATAATCATTTTATTAAACAATAAACTCAAATCTCGATAATGTTTTCTAAATAAATCATTCTATACTAAGATTTTATCGATAAACTATGATGATAAGGTGTTTTAAAGGGTATAGAGGATAATTTACAAGTTTGTTGCATGTGTGGTAAAAAGGAACAGGATAAGCGCTTGCGGCATTTTCTACAGCCTGCTCCTAAGAAGTTAAAAGTATCACAAAAAACGAAGTGTATAAAAAAATTTAAAAAAAAAGGCACATTTTGCCCAATTTTTGTAACACTTTTAGTTTTTTAAAGAGAAGGTCGTAGAAAATGCAGTTACCTCTCATTTAGTTCTCTTCAGAAAATGACTCGAATAAAATTCTCTAAAATCTGAAAACTACCATGTTCGATGTCTTTTTTTAGAGCAGATAAAAGTATAGAACTTGTCATCACTTTTCTTCTCATAAAAACAAAAAATTTACAAAAATAGATCAGTATTTTTTGTTATACTTTTTCAAATATTAGTATAACCTATCTGCTACAGTCTTAACAAATTCAAAAATTTTCTTTTGATGCAAATGGAATTTACTCGAGCCAATGTCAATTGTTGACGTGTGAAATCTTCACATCATAATCTCTATTTTTTTCGTAGACAGATCTGATCAAGTTGAAATAGAAATTATTGGATACAAAGAACATTCTAAAGTAATGAATATTCAAGTACATATATTTAATCAACAAATTCGATGGAAATGTCAAATATTTTGTATGAATTTTATCATCGATGTATTATTCTTGTTCATGATGCTTATGAAATATTGAAAGCTGTTTATAGTATGCTTGAATTAGTTGAACATGAAGAAGTATTTGATCGTATCGTGGCTAATGGCCAATTAACTGAATCAATAATTAAAACCAGACAATGCTCTTTAAACATTACCAAATAATCTTGCCAAAAGAAAAACTAAATTTAAAAAATTAACATTAATTGTAATTTCTTTGTTTCTTTGTAGCACTGGTAATTTTGCGTGCAATTTTATATATTTCTTTAGGCAAAAAAAAATTCAGTTTCATTTCTTTGTTATCTAAAATACTAATCGCATTTATTCAAAGAGTACTTTAAAAGGGAAATCAAATTCTCTATGCTTTCAGGTTCAAGGAGACATGGTGAAGATAGAGACAGTGCTAGCGTTAAGTTTCGTTTCGTTTATCAACAGCGTCACGGTAAAAAACACAAAAAGTCATGCGCAAAATGAGACGTTGCCCGAGTTTTTTTACGATCTTCTCGTACGAAGTTACAAATATCACAATAATATTAGATGTATTACAAACTCACTAAAAAATGCATTTTCATGTTTTACTTTTGCTGATGTCTAAAACTTCTCTATAGAGCAGAGATGGGTAACTCCGGCTATGTGCAACTCCAACTCCGACCAACTCTACTCCATTTTTCTAAATCCCCACTCCAACTCTAACTCCAACTCCGAATAGTGCCTCTCCAACTCCACACAACTCCGCTCCATTTTTCTAAAATCCCACTCCAACTCCGTCCAACTCCGCTCCATTTTTCTAAAATCCCACTCCAACTCCAACCCCAACTCGGGATAATGCCGCTCCAACTCCACACAACTCCGCTCCATTTTTCTAAAAACCCACTCCAACTCCAAATCCGACTCCTCGGCTATTTTCGCCACTCCACTCCAACTCCAACTCCAACTCCGACTCCATTTCAACTCCAACCGAATTTTTTTTTAAATCTGGCTGCAATACTGACTGTAAAAAGTCGTCTCCTATCTGATCTTATCTTGAGAAGTTGTACTCCTTTGCAATAGCT